TCTTACATTCTAAACATAAAACAATTATCTTTGCGAAACAAATGTAAAATTTGAAATTACTATCTTCGTAGAACTGTAGAAGTAACTTTACCATATATTTTGTATTCTAAAATTAGTTTACAATTTATGTACAAACATTAACTTCCATTTTTATTAACATTGAATCATTACTATACTATTGGAAATATTTTCTATTTGATCTTTAACTTTTGTGATTACCGTTTACAATAATAAGGGAAAATGAACATACTTAATGTTTAAGAGATATTCTAAATATGTTTGCAGTTTTAATTTGTATCCTGATCTAATAATATTATTCTCATATACAATTTCACAACCTTTTCATTTTCTATAAAGTATAATATAATCTTGCAGTATTTTCCATTACATAAATATATTTATTATATATTTCTATGAGAGGGGAGCAGTCTCTAGCGTGTTTACAAAAACTATAAGACAAATTACTATCAAAAAATCATTATTACTATGTAAATGATATCTTGGATTCAACATTTGACTTGTAATATGTCTCTACATGTAATAATGATATAAAATTATGGTATGGCAATATGTCATTATTCATGGGAGAGAATAAGTCATTTATCACTCAACAAATGTCATCAGTATAAAATTTTTAATCTTTTAGTTATATTTAGTATTTTGAAATCTGATCCAGATTTGTGCTATTATTAAGCTATTGCCGAGCTAGCAAGTGAAGGAAGAAGAAGGATCTAAGATGGCAGTTACGGAGCAGAAGATTAGTGGAATATAAATAAGAGGCTTTACCTTTCTTGTTGGCTATCGAGTTATTTGGAATATAAATAAGAGAAAATAGTTTTTTTAGCCCAAAATCAATAGGAAGTTGTCCCCTTAAACTAATCTCATTTAGTTAGTGTCCCATTAGGTTAATATTTATCTAAATGACAATAATATCCATAAAACAGTTTATTAATTCGTAATTAAAATTAGAAACTACTAATAATATATTTTATTAGGTTAAATGAAAAAGTATATTAAAGATTTAAAAATAAAAAAAATAAATATATTAATTCGTAATTAAAATTAGAAAATAAAAATAATATATTTTATTAGGTTTAATGAAAAAAGTATATTAAAAATTATAAAAAAAAATAAAAATTTAAAAAATTACAAAATATTTTATTAACTCGTAATTAAAATTAGAAAATAATAATAATATATTTTATTAGGTTTAAATAAAAAGAATATTAAAGATTTAAAAAAAAATAAAATAAATAAAAAAAGAATTAAAATAAATAATTTTTTTTATTAATTCGTAATTAAAATTAGAAAATAATAATAATATATTTATTAGGTTTAATGAAAAAAGTAAATTAAAATTAAAAAAAATTAACAAAAAACCCTAAATCAGTTAGACGTAAACCTAATCTTCCCCAAATTCCCAAATCTTAGTGAAATTATGAAGCATAGACATGAACCATGGTAGAAACAATGTAAAAACTTTGTGAATTATTGGGAATAATGGAAAAGAGGCATGAGAAAAAAATTGAGAAAGATTTGGCATGATTTTTTTTCCTTTTTTGAAAACAGTTTTTCCTTTTTTATTTTTTTTTTCAAAAAATCGATATTAAAAATATGGAAAATGAATATTTCCAAATATTTTATTCCTATATTTTCGGATCTGATTAAATTTATCCGTAGAATACATATTCTACTAAAGGTAGAACTCGGTAAACATGTTTGAAATCAGTTTCTACATGTATTAGAATGTTAGCAATGTGTAGATTCCGATTTCTACTTTTTTAGATTTATCGAAATGTTTAGATTATGGTTTCTACAGATATTAGAAGGCTATGTTAAACGCGGAATGTGTATTCCAATATGTTTTAGAATACTATTACTTCCGTAGAACACGTATTCTGAGAAAAGTAGAAATTATGGAAAAAGTAGATTCTAGATTCTAATCTGTAGTACACGGATTCTAATATCTGTAGTACACGGATTCTAATATCCGTAGAATAAAATATGAAATTGTGATTTACACATTTTTAAAACTGTAAAAAAATACCACTATATTGATATAGGTATTTCATCATTAGATACTATTTTTAAATATTTTTTTTGTTCATCAATCTATTTATTTTATTAATTTCTGGAAATGATTGCATTAGAGTAAAAAATGAGATAAAATACAATTTAGTCTAAGGGGACAACTTCCTAACGGTTTTGGGCTAAAAAAAACAGTTTCCCCAAGACTTTATCTTAGTGGACCTACATGTAATTCTATTTGGATTATAAAAAAAAAACTCAAATAAATGAGTTGACAGACAAAAATTAAAATATTAATAGAATGACAAAAAAATTTGCTTGTACATTCAGTATTCAATAAATAAATAAAAAACATTCAAAATTAACAAACAGGTGCGTGCTCATAATTTTTTCTTCCACGATCTGTTCATGTTTTTATATTTGAGCTTTTGTTCTCAATTAGTTTGTCACTTTTTTATTCCTTTTTGGACACAAACATTTCTTAAAGTAAGTTACATTAGCTCTATAAATTCAGTTTTATAGAGCTCATATCATCATTTAATTGACCTAACAAATCTTTTTTAAACGTCAGTAAATCAGTCTTCCCCACTCTAAAAAGAAAAAAATAAAACTAAATAATTATACCAATGATTAAAATATATATATATATATATTATCTTATTTCACCTTCTTTATAGTGTGTCAACATCAGTAAACGGTTTTGATTTCATTGCGCTAACCATATAAATACATTACTACGGGAATAAAATAATTAAAATGTCTATTGTGAGGAAAATGTTTAATATTTTCAAAAACAATAATACATAAACTGAAATACAGTAAAATATATCTATATGTTTGTTAAATATTTTATTTACAAAAATACAATTGTTTAAAACTATAAAATATATTTTGTTACAAAAATCTGGTGATATCTCTTGATTTTGATGAGTTTTAGATTTATATTTTAGTTTATTATGATCATTCTAGGTTACATTTATATCTTTATATTGTATTTGCATACATATTTGCATTTGATAGGGTCTAAGATACACATCTGAGAAGTTTGGACGAAAATCAAGGGTCATTCTGCATCATTTCAATCTGTAGAGTCAGAATGAAAGAAATAAAAAACCAAAGGATCAATTTGAAACTTCACTGACATGACAAAAATGGACAACCTTATTAGATAATTTTTCAATCAGATGTGGACACCTTCACAAAAGGTCTCATTTAACTATAGACACGTGTAGATAGTCTCTTTACGAAATAGGTGAACATTTCTTCTTCGGCATACGTATGTTCATTTTACTACTTTCTCTCTCTTGTTTTTTGATATCATATTACTTCTTTTGATGAGGTATCTTTGTTGAAAGTTTCCGTGTTGATGCTCTAATGATGCTTTAAAAACACCAGCGTTGGCTTAGTGTTTCATACACATTTTCTTATACACTTATATTAATACTTTCAACACAATTTTTTTTATTTAAATTAATTTTTGAAAATACATTACACAATGGAGAAATGTGACATGTGTAGAACTCAGCTTTTCAAAATTGTTCAAAATCTCTTGAACAAAATACCTCACTTTTTTGTTCGCTTCTCTCCTATTTTTACATATTTTATTATTATTTTCTCTTTCATCTGTGCTACGCGCAGATTATGTATTTTAATATTTCATTTTTAAAAGAAACTTTTTTTGTACTATTATATCTATTGAATTGTTTGAATTTATATCTAATTTAATAAACTATATGTACCTTTATTAATTTATTATTGACAACAAAAAATCTATAAAAATACATCAACTAAATATCATTAAACTTTTTAAAATCTAAAAATTTTTATTATCCAATTTCATACCTAAATTAATTATTTATTATTTAATACACTTAATTTTAAAACTGTACTAATTTTCATACCCAAACTATTTATAAGTTTGAATAAAAATCTAAAGAATCTTTAAAATTGATCACAATAAATCCTAAAATTTCTATTTTTATTTTAAGTTATAGGAATAAAGTATCTAAACTGTGGATAATATTTAAAACTATATTATTAGTTATAGTTTACATTAAAAATTAATTTTTCTTTCTGAAGTTTAAAATTAATAAATTTATTTATTTAAATAATTATTAAATATTAATATTTTATCCACAACTTAGTTAATTTATTCCTAAACTTGAAATTAAATTTGTAAATTTTCAGATTTATTTCTATTTCAAAGTTTTTTTTAAGTTTTCTTTGGAATTTATTTAAAATTTTGATTAAAAATAAGCATAGATTGGGTAGTACAATGAGCATATATATTAAAATGAGCAAAATAATTAGTTGAAATATTAAAACGACATCAAATAAGTTTTGCGTCTTTGGTTATTGACATCTGTAATTCATCTTTGATTTATTTGTAATGTATTTGATATTTGTGTATTGAAACGAATGAATGGTTTCCCAAGGTATTGATTGTTTTGATTGTGATATGTAGTGTACCAAATATGACATACAAACCCATTTTGGTGGTGTTGACATATCTTTCTTATGGTCTTTATTGTATATTTTTTATATACTATAGTTTGTTATGTGATAATGGCTTTATAGTTGATATTTTTTTTTGGACATGGATTCCCTTTAGCTGAGATGACAAAATATTAATGGTAAGACAGTAAGATAGTTTTTTTTTCCCAATTAAAGAACCGTACTTTGAATCTTCCACTTATATTATTATTTTGTCAAACGTCTATATTGTGGTTACGGCTCATATAGTGAATCAAAAAGTTTCATGTTCCTCTTGCACAGCACTGATGAAAACGTTGATGCTTTGTTTCGTTTATTTGTATTGTTCAAACACAAACAGCACATCATCAAAACTACATTTTTGTGTGATCGTATGTCCTAAGTGCAATAAACAAAACTTACAAAGCCTGTAAATTCCCTACGAATCCCTCAACGCGCCTTCTAAGATCCATACTGTTCTGTTGCACAAGTGTTAAAACTCAAGATCCCGATATGTAAGTGTAACGTGACTGAGCTCCTACCAAAAGCTCCACAAGTTTCCCTGGCAATTCCCATGAGATAAAAAGAGACACAATGCACGAAAGTCAGAAAAGTGCATTGATGTCAGTGATCAAAGGTCATCATTGTGAAGGTAATGAAATCCTTAAAGCAAACCTGTGAAAAATCCTATCAATGGAACTGGTTCCACCTTCTTCTGAGAGCTTTCCAGCTTCTGCATTAAAATCACAGGACAAACATAACGGTTAACTTAAACTGAAGCAAGAACAGAGATGCATATTAACCTCACGCAGTCACCTTGTGTACTTGGTGAAGAATGGATCTCTCATTAGGTACAACGCCCACAGAAGCTTTCGTCTCCTAAGCTGAACAGAGATACAAATAATTTCAAGTAAAAACAGTTCGACATTTAATGTGTAACTGTCGGTTCAAGATATATCTAACCTCGTTCTTTTCAGGTTGAGAGGAATTGATTTGTTTGCTCTTATCTCCACACAACTTTAAATTTGAAAGAATCCCCATCCCCAGTGTATCCACAGAAACGGATATAGCCCAGGGAATCCAAGACCTGATTCCATATCTTCTGATGAAGAGAACATAAATTAGAGGTCTTGTTATGTAAAGAACCTCACCAATTACAAACAACGCTCCTTTAAAACCCTTCTCATATAATAGATCGGATAGAGTTCTTCGCTTGTTGAATCCTTCGAGACCAACCTGAGGTAGGAAAAGATGATGTTGGTGTTCTTGTTCTTGCATTATGACCAAATGAACTTAAAGCTGACATTTCTCGTCCTTCAAAACGATTCCTATCCAAAGTACCAGCTATGTTTTGCAATTCGGGTTGGTAAGGATTTTTGTCATCGTTAGGCGTTTCTGAGCCGTTTTGCGATTTAGCCGTTTTACAACTTTAGAAGAGATCGTTTCCTAATACGAAAACATCTCGAGTTAATCGTAGAGTTTGATAATGTTGGTGTTTTGTTTAACCGTTGCCGTTTTATACGATTTGCTCGAGGTTTTCTGCGAAAACAAGTCTTTAGCGGTTTTTTTATAAAACATCTCGTATTAATCGTATAGTTTGGTAGTGTTTGGTGTTTTGTTTAACCGTTACCGTTTTATACGAGTTACTCGAGGTTTTACGAGAAAACACGTCTTTTACGCTTTTTATCGTAAAACTCATACGGTAAGGCGGATCGAGACGAAACAAGAGAGGTTACGATCACGGTTCAGAGTATGATCGAGTCGAGGGGCATGGATGGTTTAGCTCAGATCGCCAACAAGAGAGCTGGTTAAGCAAGGCCTACTCGCCTGTTGGCGAGCTGGACAAGGATGTTTAGCTCGCCAATAGGCGAGCTGGACAAGGATGTTTAGCTCGCCAATAGGCGAGCTGGACAAGGATTTTCAGCTCGCCAACAGGCGAGCTGGTCGGGCAAGGCCACATGCGAGCTGGTCGGGCAAGGCCAGCTCGCCTGTTGGCGAGCTGGACGGTTGTTCAGTTTCGATCATTTCTCGTTTTCTCGACCCGAGATCCTTTCGGAGAATATAAGGAGAAGTAACCGTAGATGTTGATTTCGAGGTTACGGTATTTGACCCCAACAAACAAGGAGGTCTTTTTGATTATTTCATACTTTGATACGAGTTTTCCGTAACTTCGTATCTTCGTAGAAAGTCTATAGTTTCTTGTACGCTTTTTCCGGGACTTTTAGCCATTGATTCCGTCGTGACCGATTTCGACCCCAACAGTTAGCCCCCTAGCTCGTTAGAAACTTGAGCTTCTAGCGTGAGGTTCTAGCGAGTGATTAGACGATTTTAGGCAAGTTAGGCAATTTAGGCGGAGTTTATGGTTGAAAAGTTCCGTTGAAAGTGGTCTTCCCACTCTCATTGGAATGGAAAGCGGTAGGATTGGGGCTGCGCCTAGTGAAGGCTGCCTACGTACCCTCTTGAAGGGATCAAGCCTTTCGTAGTTCGTTTTAGAATTAAGGTTCGTGTGACCTGTTTTTCAATGATACCTTTACATTTTAGTTACGTGTAGAGATTATCGAACATGACGATGTCGATGGTGTTTTGTATCAGCCTTGAGACTTGCCTCGTAGGCTGTTTGCTTCTACTGAGCTTAGCCATTATATTTTTGGACTGGCCGTATGCGGCTTCGAATCCGTGCCGCTTGGCGGTCGTTTTTTGAATTGTGTTTTGCGTTTTAAGAGCAAGTTTGTACTCGTATGAATGTGGAGGGAAGAATATGAGTTGTCATCTCATAGTCTAACTCTTTTTTGTAGATCGCCCTATTCGTTTTGCTCGTTTTAGGATGTTTAGAATCTTGTGAGAGTTTAGATATGGATGAAGAGACATGCCTTTAGGATCTCATTTCATGCCTTGAGACGTTAGAGACCAGTGTGCTAGGTTTACGGTAAGACCTAGATTTACTTTCGGTTTTAAGGCTTTGCGATGACTAATCGGCATTCGTTTTACCTGTTGAGATTTTAACCTGATTCCGTACCGATTTAAAGTCTGCGATAGGTTCTCGGCTTATACGACTTGTTTGTTTCGAATCGAGCATCCCCGAAGTGCTGACAGGAATTTGGATTTATTTATAACGCTATTACCCTTGTGTCGGGTGTATGACAGCTATCTCTGCTAGATAACTTAAGTTTGTTTACGTCTGTTGCGAGTTTGTTGTGATCAGCAACAAATAGGTGGTAGATGTTACCGTTTCTTGGACCTTCACAAAGGATACGTATCTTAAGAAGTTTTGTATGTTTTATAGTCGCGGATGGACTGTTGGCTCTTCCAAGAAAGTGATTTTATCGAGGAAGGTATTTTTGTCAAAAAACTGTTCTTCAGGCGTCTGCGACGACTCGCAATGCCGAAGATTGGTTTTTCTTTCATATGTCGCGTTTCATGTTCGAAACGTTTGCGGGCTTGAAGATGTTGCGCGGTGTTGCAAAGGTTTTGTCTTAACCCTGCTTTGCATGAACACTTTGTTTTGTTTGCGGACATTTGCAGCCAAAACTTACTTTCCTGCTTGGATGTTAAGTAGTTTGATTAGTGCTAGAGAAATTAGGACCTAGGGCTCGCGTAAGTTTGTTCCTGAAACAAAGCGTCTTTAATTACAGTGCTTTGTGAAGTCTTAACCTTCTGAGATCTTTTTCATATATTTTAAGGATAACTCGTACGGCTTCAGGAGCTCTGTTACGAGTGTTTTCTTACACGTCGGATTTTGTAGGCAACTCGTTTTGGAAATAGAGTGAATTGTGAGAATACATAACTTAGTCGATTTTCGACAAGTTTGCATTATCCGTTGAATGTATTGGCTTGGCGTGAAGGTTGTATTCAGCCTCATATCCAAGGACGTAGTTGGTAGAGGACAAGACCACGACACTTTCGTGCTATCAATAAGGTTGCGTCGGTTTGTAAACTTGGACTCGGCATTGAAGTGGAGCATGATCAGACAAGGGCCAAGTAGCGTTTGTCGAGATTGATATGCAAGTATGTCTGTGGTTGTAGATAACGATTTTCCGTTTTAGGTTCGATTTATACGATGAAAGTTTCGTATAATCTTTCCTTTGTTCGTATGAAAGTTGTTGCTTTTTTACCCGAGGGAGACAGAGCCTAAGAAGCTCGATGAAGAGCCCGTGCAGAGTAGTTTGCGGGATAGTTTCATGCTCGCATGTAATCGAGAGGTATTAGAGCGGATGCTTGTGAAATGAAGGGCTAAAGAATGAGATCTTTCAGATCGTGGTAAGGAAACAAAGTTTAGATTGGTCGTCCAGCGTCGAATCTTATGGCTTTGCTATATGGAAAGTACTTTTTGCAAAACCTGTTACGTTTACTTTCGAAAGTTACTTCGTATGTCAAGGTCTTCGACTCTACGAAGGATTTCTTGCATAAGTAACGGACGACAAATTTAGTAAATTGACGCGACGTATGGAGATGTCAAAATAACGATGCTTCTGCGAATTTTTGAGAAAACTTTTCCGCTTTGTTTTTGATTCTTCGGTGATAGTTTCTTGGAGTCACTCGCGAGGTTTTACCAAAGGTTATTTCACTGAGATCTAGTAGCAAATGTTTTAGCGGGTTTCTTGAGCAGAATAGGATCATTTGACCAGCAATAGGATCAGTCGGTGAGCAGGAAGGACGTGTTCCTTATTGCTGCTTCTTGTGTTCTCGATTTTTCTTTTGACGCAAATGTTCTTTTGACGGAAAACAAGAGCAATGCTTTGATGCCTAAATATTTCTCGTATAATTTGTTGACTCTTATACGAAACTTCTTTTCTCAAGTTGCAAAAGATCTTATTGACTTCGGAAAATCATCGAGTTTTAATCAGAGGTTTTTTAAACGCATGATTGCGATGAGAGATGCTGTATAGTCCTCGAGATTATTTCCCAGTTGGTTTGGATAAGTCTTTTGCGTTTAGACGGATCTTAGATTGTCGTTTGCCTTTGGGATGATTTTGACGAGGCATCGCATTGTGAGAATATTTTCCGCCTATTTTTGCGAGAGTTTGCTTTATAGAAAGCGTTTTCTGGATGTGAGGAAAAATGTTTTTTTTTTAATATGGGAGTATACAAGTATAGTATACGCACCTACTCCCTCCTTTTAAGACGAAAGAAAACAGATGAATTTCTTTTGAAGGATTGGGATTATCGACAATCTGGGTCGATTAAAGACCATGGTGGATTGACGATGACTTGGAGTATGAATTTTTTACGGAAATTTCTAGGAACGAGTCGGTTTTAAGACGACGCTGTTGTCTCTAGTTTCTTCTTTCTTTAGGAAATGAGATGAGTACGCTCGAATGCGCGGCGATCGTTTCTCTTAGTTTCATCGATGATTTGGGACTGCCTCTTCTTCGTTCTTCGTCTTTTAACTTGAATTGGTCTTCGACGAAGTACCAACAAGAATATCGGAGTTAGGAAGGGATTTTAACGTCGGAGTTTATGTTATTGTTTCTTCGTACTGCTGGTTTTACTTAACTGACTAGGTGTGCTTCGTATATTGTTGAAAAATCCATCACACGTTAATGATTAGATGTTTTCGACTTAACGTGGCAGACTTTCGTAAATCCGGATTGCGCTTAGAGAGTTCAAGTCTCTCGTATAGTTTAGGCAACTTTGGTGTTGAGTCAACCGTTGCTGTTTTAGACAATCGATTCGAATATCTACGAGAAAGCAAGTCTTTGTGGTTTTTATCTTAAAGTTCCAACGGTTACTCCTACTGGGACGAAACGAAAACTGTTCGGACCGAGATTCGAGATTGAAACGTTTCGGTCCGTCGAGCTTTTTCAACTCGCCCACTGGCGATTCGGTGAGAACAATCCCGATTCGTTGAGCTGACTTGTTTTCGTCGTAAAATCTCAACGGAAACTCCGATCAAGACGAAATGGAAAGCAGGCGATTATTGTTTGAAGTACGATCAGGCTCACCATGGTTGTGAGTTGGATGGTTCAGACCCTCGGGGAAAAGTCAGTGCCTCGAGGGCGAGGAGAAAGGCCGATCAGCTCGCCAAGAAGGCGAACTGGTTGGGCACGGCCAGCTCACCAACTGGCGAGCTGGTTTGAACGGTCTAGCTCGCCAACAGGCGAGCTGGTTGAGCTTGGCCAGCTCGCCAACAGGAGAGCTGGATGGGAAGGACCCTCGGGGAAAAGTCAATGCCTAGAGGGCGAGGAGAAAGGCCGACCAGTTCGCCGAGGTGGTTAGCTGGGTTGCTTGTCCAACTCACCGTCTTTGCAAGCTGGATAGTATCGTCCAACTTGCCGTAT